TCAGAGACCACCATCCTCCAGAGGCCACTGAACAGTCAGGTTTGGGCCCGCAGTGACGAGACATGCAGGGCCTCACGGGATGGGGTGGAGCTGGCCCTTTCCTCCCCATCCCAACAAGACCCCGAGCTGCCACCCACAAACTGCCTCTCTGGCTCCTCATCAAGCTACTTAATGGCCATGATCCCAGAGACTCAGAAACAAATCTCGAAACCCAATGGCTTTTGGCAGAAATGTGTCTGGACCCCACAGTAGATTACTGTCATCGGGCCACCCCAAGGGGGAAAGGGTTCTGTCCCTCCAACCACGAACGGCATCTCTGGCTCCTGATCAAGCTGCTTAATGGCCATGATCCCAGAGACTCAGGAACAAATCTCGGAACCCAGTAGGTTTTAGCAAAAAATCCCTTTAGATTTAACTGTTAAAATTTCGGAATTTCAAAATCGTGCAGTCACTACTGCAGCCACGCAACATCATATGTTATTCATAACCAGCAATAGAATACAAACTGTCTACTGCTGCCTTTTCAGCAAATCTGAGTGTTGGGGTAAAATCCCAAATAATAATGATGGGTGTGGTGTCAAAATGTTGAATGTAATCAAAGTACAGAGAGAGTAATTTGGAAATCACACGTAGGGGGAGGGTATGGGATGGAGGTGGAGATACTGAGGATTTTGGTGGTGGAGAATGGGCACTGATGAAGGGACAGGTGTTTCATAGTATGACCAAGACTTAAACCCAAAAGTTTTGTAACTGCTCTCATGGCGATTCAATATCTAAAATTGTAAAAAATGGGGGGGAAAAAAGTAAGGTGGAATTCATGCACAATTCAATCAGCCTAATCAGGGGATGAATAAATACCAGTACTCCTACATAAAAAAATTATAGTACAGTGGGTAGTGCACTTGTCTTGCATGCGGTAGACCCCTGTACGATCCCCAGCCCCCTATATGGTCACCTGAGCCCACCACAGGAGTGATCTGTGAGCGCAAAGCTATGAGTAAACCCTGAGCATCTCAGGGTGTGAATGTGACCCCCCCACACAAAAAAACAAAAATGAATAACAAAATAATAGTTTTTTAAAAAGAAACATCAACACCGCTTAGTAAAGATTCTGTTTCAGCAGAGAATGTCCATACACGTATGAGTCCAGGGCTACAGAACAAATTATACTTCCGACTACGGATTCTAGCCAAAAAAGTTGGACAGCCGTTGATGCCATCCCAACTAGGGATTACAGTTCTGGCTATAGCAAGAGAAAAGCGCAAGATCAGTAGGAGTGCTGCCCATCACATGGACAGTTGTGAGAGACAAGGGAGAAAAGAGCAAGTCAGAACTGCTCCCGGCAGCAGAAACACTCAGCATCCCTGGTGAGCAATTCTGTATTGTTCTCACCTCTGCAATCAGCATCTTCTCTTTCAAACTTGTCTCCCTTTCCGGTATCCTCTTGTAAGCATTTGTGTTTCTACAAGTAAAGCTTTCTTCTCACCCATGTATACACAATGGAGGCTATACAACAAATTATTTTCTTCACTTTCATTTTGCCCTAGCACTTTTGTAATTTATACATAGAATATGCTCCCATGTCTATGGAATGAACACTGCTTGAAGTATATTCACCCCTACCTAAGGACCTCAATATTGTATGTTTCATCCCTTAACAGAACAGTGCCCTGTGAAATTAAATTCTGGTAGTAACTTAAATAACCTTGAAAGTACTTGAAAAGTACTTTTGGAGTCCTTTAACAAAGCAACTTAAAAGAAACGGGTTTTTAACACTAATGCTTCCCAAAATGTTTTTTGTTCAGTTTCTAAAATTCTATTATTAAACATAGGACTACAGCAGAAGCCATTTTTCTATGCCTTCTCTCAAGTTCTGTCTTCACCAAAAAGCTATTCACATTAAGTGTACATTAAAAGCATATATGCAATTTATATGTTGCAAGGGTGACAACCTTTAATAAAAACATACTGCCAGCACACCTCAAAGTCTCAGTGCAAATGCTTCCTGACCTCTAACTCACCAGAAATAGTTTAAAGAGCCCTCAAAATATCCAGCTAGCCTTTTCCTCCTCACAGCTCTGCATTGATCTACACACAACCCCACAAAGCTCTGCACAAATGTGTCGCACCAACCCTCCACCCACACATCAGGAAATTTTTTTAAAGGATTAAAAAGGGACAGAACTGAGTACAGCAGTTCAACATACTTCTGCTTAAATGAAACTTTAAAAGCCCTAAGAAAGTGGAGAAGGCGTAATTAGACCTGCTTTACAAATAAGTGATCAAATAATTGATTTGCCAAGGTCACAGAGCTAAGAACTGAAGCTCTGACTTTTCCACACGGAGTCTTCGAATTTCAAATCCTTTGCTCATTCCACCCAACAATCAGCAAGTAAGAAAATTGACTCTTCAGTGGGCCTGTTCAAGGTAGTCATACTCATTCTCCAAGTTTCGAAAGGGACCAGCTGCCGATACCTTCCTGTCAGATTGAGTTCTTGCGTGGACTCAAGCTTATTCACGAGCCAAGAAAAGCCTGAGATCAGAAGACAAGAAAGAGGCAGAGGTGAGGATAGAGGAGCTCAGCCAGGGAGTCCCTGAGTGAAGAGGGTCAATGGAGGCATGCAGGAGAGCTCGTCATGTGCATCTAAGATGAAAGGGCCAAGGGGACAGGGATTCAAGCCCTTGATCATTGCCAAAGTTTCTCTGCTCTGTGCAGAGGCAAGATTCTTCCTCTCAAAGCCTGACCAGGGCCAAGTTTGGCCTGAATTCAAGGAAATCAGTGTCACGTTGGCAGTGGTTCATCCTTTCAGTCAAGAAAAAGTTTATGAAAATAAAATCTTAAACAGGTATGAGAAGTATCAATACCACATTGTCTCTGCCTTCAAAAGGTTAAGTTACTGACTAGGTCAGTAAGTGACATACTACATTGATGAAAATATTTACAAGGCCCTCTGCTAACCCAAAAGTTTAAGCCTCACCAAGTACAGTTGCAAAAGTAAGGGGAAAGGCAAGAAAGGGAGGTAGGAGGAAGAACAAAGATGAAGAGACTTTGCTGAGGAGGAACGAATGCCGCTACTATGCAAAATTAGAACATGAAGGCTTCTGGTGTTGCTTGTTGGAGCCGCTCCATAATACAACCATCTCTAGAACTTAGGATAAAGATAGGTTGGCAATGTGCAAGAATAATCATAAAATGAAGACAAGCTAGGCACCTGAGTAAAAAAGGAAAATAATTTTATAGTGCCCTAAAAATCTGAACAAAGCACTCAACAAATATTCTATTAGTATATTATTCAGAAATAGAAAGGAATAAAATAACAGGTGCTAGAAGTATTTGAAAGTATTATCCCAAGTGAAAATTCAAATACAAATAGACCACATGTGGCACCATTTATATATAGGAAATGGCAGAAGAGAAAACTCCAGTGGCAATTCTCTAAAGCTGGGGCTGTTATTGTAGAATAAGTGGAAAATAGAGTAGAAGGGACATACATTCTGTACAAATGATGAAAATGTTCTAAATACAGTGTGGTGACTATTGAACAACTCTGAATATGCTAAAAAGAAAACTGAATTATGCACTTTCATTGGGTAAACTGTAGGAATTTATTTCAATAAAGCCATTACATTACAAAGATCATTATCTGGTCTCATAAAAGAATAAACAAAAACTGCAGATGGTTTTATTATCCATCTTAAGAAGCCATTTGAAGACTAAGTTAAAGAATGGAATTTCTATATGGAATAAGATAGAAGCCACAACTTTGTCACTTGTCAGCTGTACATATGAGACAGTGACTTGATGCGCCAATGCACTCAATGGTTGAAGGAAGGAGTATCTACCTTGCAGGGTAAGAAATGCCACACATCATCTACATAAGCATTCTTTGGTGTTACCCCTCTTTATGTAAAAGTGGAAATAAATATTCCTGTCTTAGGTATTATCCAGACGAATAAAATATTCAAACTCAATTCCTTAGACCCTTCATGTTAAGCTTTGTCTGTTCCATCTGTGCAGATTCACTTGACTCAGTTACCAAGATGATGCAATGGTTACCTAATAGTACTAGATGTTTTCACTGCTTACTATGTTCAAGGCCACTGGTCTTTAATCACCAGTCCAGGGTGTTGGTATGTAGGTACAGAAAGTCTGAAAACCACTGGTCCACCACCTTAGTTCTAAAGGCCAGTCTGTGGACTGGAATACAGGATATGTACTAGTCTACAGGTGAAAAAACAGATGATCTGTTTCATATTAAGCATATGCTAAGGCAAATACAAAACCCAGTCATCAGTGTTGTACTTTTTGTCCCCTATAGCATTCGTATACATTTGGGTCTTATTCTGATTAGTACCTATTTACTGTTAAAATAGATGCTCAAAAATATATTTCTCAGCAAATCTTACAAGAATCAAGAAAATTTCTTATTTTCAATATACTGAGCATACAAGCTTACTTGGTTGTCTCATTTGTATGCAAATTTTTAAGACACATGCATGATATTTTTTGTCCGATTTACTATAATGAGCAACTTGCTATTTCTGAAAGCTGACATGTTACACTTATCCTTTTTGAAGGGTGCAATTCACAGCAGTTAAAGAAGTATGAGCATCAGACAGGAGAGCAAAGCCAGGTGAACAGTATAATCAGAATGCATGCAAATGCCACAACTGAATGAGCGTGACCCCACCACCACCACACTGCAAGCACAAGTGCATAGACTACAAGCCAGAAGGCACCACAACCAAGTGTGGAAACAATCAAGCTTGTATACCCCACCAGTCATCGCAACAAGTGAAAAGGAAAAAATGCACAAGAATATTCTCATGTATAGAAACAACTATATGCATCTGACCAGTTCCCCCTCATAATAGCATGACTAAACTAGTACCTTTCAAAACAAGCGTTTTTTTTTTTAGCCATTCCACAGATGTTAGACAGCAGCCATCAACATTACAGTTAGTTAAAATTCACCACAAAACGTTGAGAATAACCTTACCATGTCATCTGTCAGTGTCCTAATATTTAAATGCTGCAAATGAAAAAAAATCAATCATATCAGTAATTTATAACATTTTTTGGTTTCATTTAATAGAGCACATTTTAAATTCTACAATGTTAGGTTGAATGCAATTAAATTCCTGACAGTCTAATAAAAATGCATTATATATTGTTCAATCGCTTTCTCAAAAAAGATGGACAAAAGTTACTCTGAATGTGGTAGTTTGCTAAAAAATTTCTTGACTTTGTAATCCTCATAAATAATAACAGTATTACCAATTAATAACAGTATTACCATTAAGTTTACAGACATAAAGGACAATGGATATAGGGATTTGAATAAGATTTCAGATAATTTTTCATATTATAAAACAGTGAAACTTTAAATCTATCATTAGCATGCAGCATAATAGATAATGAAGTACTTTGCTGGCTTAATTAACTTAAACAATTCTAGTAACGAAGAAGAGAGTACTGGAATGACTATTTGCATCTTCAACATCAGTTTGATTTATCACCAGTGGTGACAGTAGACACTTTAATTTCATTGCTAGCTTTTTTGAGAACCCTTTTGCTGATTTTCTTGCTAGACAAACATAAGGCCACTTTAGAAAGTGAATAAATTAGTTTCCTGCAAAGCAAGAGTTCAAAGGAAAAAAGCATTTAGGGGTACAAAAAAAAAAAGAAATCTAAGTTTTCTCAATCCTAGATTTTGTTAGCAAGTAACTGGAATCAATTTTCAGTTCTTCTTCCTCAGATTTTAGCATTACATCTTGACAAAGGCAGACACTGGGTCACATATATTTCCTAAATAGGCTATCAGGTCAATTTTTTATGTACAAAGGGGCATGTGTACGTCATCATCTAACAGTAAATGGCACAGAGTTAAGTTCAACATTAAACAGAATTAAATTTATCACTGATATTGTAGGCAGGAATATACCGTTATGTTCACAATTCTACTTAATGGATTATCCAAATTTAAATCATGGGCCAAAGGACATATCAAAAGAACTAGAATACCTATCATGTTTGCATCCTCAAGCCCCATCCCCAACAACACAGATCTATCTCCCCACCCCACCTCAAACCACCAAATATGTCCCTGATGGACCCAGAGTACCACTGGGCCTGAGCACTGAACACCAGACAGAAAACATCACCCAGCCACCCTCCTCCCTCCACCCTTATTAAAATGAAATTTAAATCACTACCCTAACTCTCTTCTTCAGCAAAGTACTACCTTCCAGTGCAGAGAAAATAGTAACTGGAGGCTCTCAGAATGAGCTGTGTAATATATCAAAGAGAAAACAGCTGTAAATATGACCATAAACAACTAGGTTCCAGACAAAGCAGCACTTTGAATTAGACTAGCCTGACCTCATCGAGTTTTTCATCGTATTTCATCCTGGGCTGTCCAATTTGCTTTCTGCCAATACCATCTTCAGCCTTTGAGAGAAACAAGTATTCACAGAGGTGGTAAGTGAAGATGGGATCTGCGGCAGGACTACAGAGCTTTGGAGGTACTTATAACTAGAAAGACTCACAGCAGGACCACTACTAGAATTCAACTTACAGCAGAAAGGCTAGGATCACTCCATTCAGTCATTCCAGTCAGCTGTGCTCTCTGCATTCTCCTGATAATTGAGCTTTCCTAACTGCTGCATTTCACTAACTACATCTCCGTTGTCCAACAGGAGGTACCAGAGTCACAACTCACAAGCCGCCAGAAAAGGGTCAATCCAAGTTCCTCTAACAAGAGCACTCTAAGTGGCCTCCTCTTAAACAGTAGGTCCAGAGAAAACATATCCAGCTGAAATTCCTTTTCAGAAAGCAGGCCACAATGAAGAGAAAACAACTATGAAATATTCCCAAATATCACTCTATGTTGCCGGAGGAAAATGTCTTAAAGTGATGTTAGAAAAGACACAATGAAAATAAACAACTGTGAGAGAAATGAGTTGAGGACTCAAGCAGGATTTATGATCCAAAAGATGTGAGAGATCTCAAAGCTGAAGTACTAGATAGGAAAAGTAGGGAGTGTAGGTGATGTGATGGAAAATCTCAAAGACGGAAATGTTCAAAAGGAACACCTTTATGTACCTTTCAAGGCCTAAAATTGAGTTGGATGACTTTAAGAAAGAGCAGTCAGGATAAAGAAACTATGGTATATCTACACAATGGAATACTACACCCACCAGGAAAAATTAAATTTGCTTATAAATGAATAAGCACGGAGAGCATCATGCTGGATGAGAGGAGTCAATAGGAGAGACAGATATGGAATGGTTGCACTCATTTGTGGGAGTATGAAAAAGCACAGTATGAGACTAATACCCAAGGACAGTAGAAACAAGGACTAGGAGGACCAGTCCAGGTTGGAATCTTGCCAGCAGTGGTGGGGAGGGGGCAGTTAGGATAGAGAAGGGACCACTATGACAATCATGGTTGGAAATGATCACTGAACAAAAGCTGATTGCTGAAAGGAGATAAAAGTATATGCATGATAACCTTTCAGTACCTTTATTACAAGTCATAATGACCAAAACGGGGGGGAAAGAAGGAAGGAGGGAGGGGGAAGGAGGCAAGAGCAGGAGGAGGAGGAGATGATGAGGAAGATGAGGATTGATGATGGGAAATGTACACTAGTGAATGGATGAGCGTCGGAACATTGTATGACTAAAACACAATCATAAACAACTTTTTAAAATATGTATCTCATGGTGATTCATTCAGTAATTTTTTAAAAGGGGGGCTAGAGAGATAGCGTAGCAAGTATAGCAAGTGAGATGCTTGCCTTGCATGCAGCTGACCCAGCATCCCATATGATCCCCATGCACCACCACAAGTGACTCCAGAGCACAGAGCCAGGGGTTATCCTTGAACGCTGTGGGGTGTGGACCCAAAAAACAAAGAAAATAAAGTGCAGTCACTGAACTTGTAGAAACAGAGATATGTAAGAACAATTTTTTGTTAGAGGTTATCTTTTCAAACCAACAAAGTTTTCGAAGCTATTTTCTTGAATGCATGGTCTGCACTTTTTAAATATATAGGCATGCATAAGACACGCCTAGTTGCAGACTACAATATCTATCAGTCTTTCACGAAAAAGAAATGGATTACAGTCAAATTAAAATGCAGGGATAAGCTTATGTGAAAAAAATAAGAAAACTCAAAAGGGATGTAAAAATCCAGGAGGTTTAAGAGTCTAAGAAAAGCAAGAAGCTAAGGCCAAATTCATCATTTCTTTTCATCTGTAAAACACCCATTGATTCTGCCCACCAGGAAGAAAAGTCAGTAGGGCAGGAAATGACAGAAAATTCAAGGACCCATGACAGAACCAGGGATATTGATTCACAATAAAAAACACTAGAAAAACTTTTATTTCTGCATTCAAAGAGTAAAACCCAAACATGTTTCACCTCAAAATTTAGATTTCAGAAATGATACAACTATTAATACGCATGCAATCCACAAGGAGCTACTAAGGACATATAGCATTAAAAGATCTAAATAGAAAAAAATCATGAGTGATTGCCCCTAAAATCTGAAATGTTCAATAAGCTCCCTTCAAACTACGAGGTATACTGGCAGAAAACTTAAAGATAGATTAAGCTATAACCCACTGTAACATTTGTCTAATGTTAACATTAATTCAAGATCACGATCACCCCGTTGTTCATCGATTTGCTCGAGCGGGCGCCAGTAACGTCTCCGTTCGTCCCTGTCACAAAATAGTGCAGTCCGATGGCATATTGGGGGCTCTTTCAGGGTCATGAAAATGAGGCCCATCATTGTTACTGTTTTTGGCATATCACTGTTACTGTTTTTGGCATGCCACGGGTAGCTTGCCAGACTCTGCTGTGTGGGCGCGATACTCTCAGTAGCTTGCCGGGCTCTCAGAGAGGGATGGAGGCTTTGGGGGCAGCCTCTAATCACCTTTACAAGTGTTCCCAGTCAGGCATAAATGTGGGCAAGATACTCTCGGTAGCCTCCCAGATTCTCTGAGAGCAAGAACTAGACAATAAGAGGTCTAGACAGTAAGCTTCCGGGAGCTTCATTTTATAGTCTCTGGATCTTGGCCGTTGACGGGGTTACACGGCAGTTGGAGGGTGTAACTGCCTAGCTACTGGATGATGGGGGATCTGGGTGGAGGAGGCCCAGTCCCGAACCAAGCAGGCTTGGCGATCTCAGTCCCAGGTCCCGCACACCTGAGTTCCTCGACCAGTTCCTTCATGCATGAGGCTCGTCCTAGCATATGAAGAGTGGTCTCAGCATGACTGTGGCTGGGTCCTGGAAGTCTTCAGCTGCCGGGGCTCTACTCAGGGCGGAAAGGAAAACTCAACCCGCCCCCCTCCAAGGGGCCCTGATGAGGACAACCAGGCGAGGGGGCAGGAGACTCAGAGTTGTTCTCCGAGAGCTTGGTTTTATAGTCTCTGGATCTTGGCCGTTGATGGGGTAATTCAAGATAACGATTATAAATTTGCATTATTTCAAGGTTCTACTTGTTTATGGACTTTTTTTAAAAAATGGAAGGAGAATATAACTAACAAAATCCTGAATAATTCTGAAGAAGTATGAACTTGCTTTCAAAGATACAAGGTGAAAATGGAAGGAGAATAGAACTAACAAAATTCTAAGTAATTCTGAAGAGATATGAACTTGCTTTCAAAGATACAAGATGGCGTTCTGCATTAAAAAGGAAAAAATATTGTAAATATATGTTTGTATATTGCTTTTATACAATCAATTGTGCTACGGGTATCTGATTAACCAAGATACTTTAAAAAAAAAATGAGGTTTTCTTTCTCATCACTACCTGCAAGGATCATTACTATAAGGTCTGGCTGCTGAAAACAGCAAGTGTTAGACTATCAATCCAGTTCGTGCCTGGAATTTGCCACTAGTCACATCAGAAAGAAAATTGAAACATAAAACCCACTATTTGGAAGCAAACAGAAACATTAAAAAAAAAAAAAACTTAATATCAACTTTGGGATTTTATGGGGAGGTTCTCCAAAAAAATAAATT